AAAGGCAGCCCATATTGAAATTCAGGTGTTCCTTCTGTCTGTGGTATATGTCAGGCTATGTGTCTCGTAGTGCATTCGTCGCTCATCTCTCACATACGTGAAGTAATCGTCTCCGCTTCCTCGCGGACTCTCCTGTTTTCTTCGTGTAACGCCTTGCACAGTTTCTCAAGTTTCTCGTTCATCACTGTCACCTTGGCCAGATCATGCACGACTGACAAGAATGATATTTCGGGAAAGAACAGTGTTGGAAAATATGATCGCTTTGCTCAGCTGAGCTCAAGAGTTTCCTCACTAATCATAGAAGTTCACAAACGAGCTAGGGTAGAAGTGCGCAGAAACCAACAAGAATGTCCCTAAATGTCCTCAGAATTTTGATATTGTCGGTGACGATTTCTTACCGACACATGTCGTATATCATACGACTCATACCACATTTCCTTCAGATTAGCTAGTTAATTTCTTGATAGAATAGACTTCTTTCTATATCAAAGGATGCACGAGCGACAAGTGGTTCCTGCGAGTCGCAGGCTGCGACCGACATTCATCCTTCAGAGCCCTTTCCTCAGCGTGCAACTTCTCAGCCGTTGCTTGTTCCCTCAATGCTTCTTCCACTATTTTACACAGTTTATCGCCTATCAAATTACAACAGCACTTTTGGCGTTATCATAATATCTTAAAAATGGAACAAGTAATTGCTGATGTCTGCTCTGTCTCATCTAAGCAAGTTCAATGAACTATGATTCAGATTAAGATTGAGATTCAATCTACATTGAATCCTTATCGAATATTCAGCTGAAAATATGCATACATCGATGATGGATGTACATATATTTTCAGCTGAATATTCGTGATGGTGATCGATGATCGATCACGAATAAGCGAGAGCTAATGGTGTGCGATAAAAGCGATAGAGGAAGTAATTTTACTGCAGGGATTGATACAATCTGCTGGATTCTGGTATTAGAAAGCATCCAATAGATACTCTGTATTCCATACGGGATATTGACAGTTTAGATGAGGTGTAAAACTAGGCCTTCTCGGAGAAGGGGCGGAGCTCGCGCGCTCTTGACGCGCGAGTGTGTGGAGCTCGGTCTCTTCTCGCTTATCGTAACTCACAATTAATGATTCATTGTATCACTATTCGCTATAGTACAGTGTGCACATTGAGAGAATTAGCATACTGTTCATAAAAGTCAATAATTTCTGCTAACAACACAGCATCTTGTCATGAACAACATTCTCATATAGCCATCTCCCGTAGACGCAACTCAAATGCTTTACGGTCATCGGCACTTTCATCACATAATTCATTCTCCTTGGGAACACATTAGCAAATAATGTGTGGTATCGTGCTATTCTCTTCCAGTGTGAGTGAGGGTGAGCAGCGACTGACCTATCGCAATGTTGGACAATCCCGTGAGCCTCGGCGAGTTTATGACGAGGGACAAGTCCAAATCTAATTGACAGGTGTCATGGTGATCCAGTGGCACACACTTCCAAAAATCGCGCTAGATAATTATGAAATTCACTAATTCTCGGGTAGGCAGTTACGCTCCCGATGGTTCCAAACAGTGCCACTAAGAGACGTACTGCTCCCACCATGCCGTCTGTAATAGGGATTCCGTTACGGAGTGCGGGAAACGACTGTTTTTGAAGGCAGCTGTGGCTACATATACTACAAGTATATGTATAGCGACTCATTGCGAATAAGTATTGGGCTTGAAATCCTGAATGCTGGCGTTTTTGGAGGCGCTGAATGTCACGGTGAGCCCAACGTTGAAAGAAATTATAGTTGCATATCTACCGTTACGAATTGGCCGCAAACCCGGAAACAGGCCCATTTCCATACCAGGCATGGTACCTATATTAGAGAGGTGATTATCTTCTCAAGAGATCTAAAGAGCCAGAATGAAGAGGGGGCACAAAGCGAAGCATGGAGAAGTTCGCCACGGACTCAGCCGCATACCGTACGATACTAGTAACTCAATAAGCATAGGTCGGGAGAGTCGGAATGGACTGAATATACGACTTACCATCTCTTTAAGAGTCTCTAGATGACTTCTGTTGAAAAGTTCCAGCAATCAGCCATTCATTCACATCCAACCGATGCGAGAAGTATATAAGACTTCATGCTGCCAAGAAGAAAATGACTATGGACGAAAGAAAATCGTCCTGATTCGAATGTGATGGGTTTCATCCAGTGCACGTCCACAATGGAGGAGATCCACTCAGACCTTAGGTGTACCACCAAGCAGGTCATCATCTATTCCACAGTTTCCGAGGGCTATCTTGAAAAGGCCTTTGTCACCCCAGTCTTCATTCCAGGAGTTCACGGCAAGCCAGTAAGCTTGTCCACTCTTCTCACCCCAACCAATTATCTTCACAGCATGTCCACCGAGATATGAACCAGAAGTATGCTTGTATACACCGGACTTGTAGGCTAGGAAATCTTCGTAAACAGTGAAAGAAGCCGAAACCTGATCAAAGTTAATGTTGGGATCACAGAAGTGGATCGGTCCCACTGGGCCATCGGTCCTGATAGCATTCTTAGCATCGTTCACAGAGTAGTGATAAGGAGAGGATTCCAACATGAAATGACGATCACTGAGAATGATAAACTCGATAAATTTGACTTAGCTTAGCCTTCCTTTACTCTCTCAAAGTGGTCGTATACTTCGGGTTGCGGCATTGTTCGACACAGTTGGGAGTCGGGTATATGTCCTGATAGGCAATGACAGGTACTGCCTCAGCGGTCGCCGGCGGCGACT